CTAGATTCAATACCCTCATTAACAACTGTGCTGTGTTTTCTCTTACCCAGACTGGGAACCCTAGGTCACTCAGTACGCTTTCTATTCTTAACCAAGTTCCACAGCCCTCGTATAATTAGTGTAATTACATTACTTTAACATATGGTGATGGTAATGAAATACCGAATAATTATCATTCACAGCTCCTTTCGAAATCGATCCTGCGAAGGGCAGATGAGCCAGCCGGATATTACAAAGACAAAGAGAATCTTTGAGTGACAACCTAAAATGAATGAAAAGACCAACCTTTTTAAATGATTTTACCCTCTAACGGAGTCGGTCTAGGGGCCTCTCTTTCTATCTCTCTCTCTCTCCTACCCACCCCTTTTCTCTCTCTCTCTCTCTCTCTCTCTCTCTCTCTCTCTCTCTCTCTCTCTGACACGCTAGCGCGCACACATACACACACATACATATCACAACTGAAGCCTTTTTGGGGATCTCAAACATTTAAGCATAGTAGCGGTAGCCATCTGTGGCTTAGAGATTAGTGCATGCGTTTAACTAGTCAATGCTATTTAACAACTTCACAATCCTCAACATACTAGGGTTAGATTTTCACAACCGACAGGTTATTTTAGGAACCCCGATCAATGTATAAAATGCCAGTACCAATTAATCATTTTTTTTTCAAATGGGGAAAATTCTTTCGGTATAGGCATTGTTTGGTAAACGTCCAATGATCTAGAATGGATTGAGGACGTATACGGAGGTACCACTGTAGTCCCAGGGACAGGTAATGGGTATACTGGAGACAGCCTATTTTTGTGGAGACGGCATGTTATTATTTTGTTGTTGTTGTTAAGGACCAGGGTACAAAAGCGTGCTTTTGTACATTTTAAATCATGTGCAAGGTTGCGTTTATCGCCATCTGTTTATACGATCTTTCCGTTTTTTCCCAATCAGCTGCTACCAAATTTCAGTTTTTCTCTTTCGTGAGAAAACACGATTGTTGTCCTCTGATACCTTTCATACGTGTACCTTAGCCCTCCGCCCCCCCCCCTCCCCCAGGTCCCAGTCAGCTGGCTTTTGTTTGTCAGTTTTACTTGTGACATTTTTTAGGACAAATTATTCGCGATGTCTTCAAGGGCTTTTCTGTTTCGCTTAACAACTACTTTTCCTGACCGCTCCGAGACGCAGACATTTAGAAAACATCCAGAACCTCAGTGAAGTACAGATTTTCTAACTGAAAAGAGGTTGGGGGTGGGGGACTCAGAAGATGGATCCTTTCGCATTATTATTATTTTTATTATTGTTATTATTATTATTATTATTATTATTATTAATATGATAAATGGCGAATACGTTTAATAGTATACTTGAAATTATATTAAATGAATACAGAAATACTTCAAAAGAAAATATATATGTATGGTTAAAGCGTGTCACTTAGAACCCTTACAAAATTCTTGCCCCTCCCCTGGGGTCTGTCCCCAAACGCCAACCTGGTCGCCCGACTGTCCGACTGATATTATGTCGGTAATCCAAACTGAACAGGAAAACAGACCGGCGTGAGTTTTTTTTTTTTTTTAAGATACCTCTAGACCTGAGGTTCTCAACCTGCCGGTGGCGACCATTTTTTCCAAGACCAACGGAAAACTCGTATTCTTTGAAATTATGAAGGAAAATAATTGTTCGGGGGTCACCACAACATGAGGGGACTGTATTAAAGGGTGGCGACATTAGGAAGGTTGAGAGCCACTGCTCTTATCTATTGGGTTCCACCCGTGACTTGGTTTGTGACGGATCCCTGTCCCTTTTGCCTGACAAGTGCAGCTTTGATTTAGGGTGCTCAAGGGACCTGAATCCCTTAGATTTCGGCACCGATAGTTCATGCAACTTAGACCTCTTACAAATTTATGGTGCTGCTCAAAGGGCCTAAGAGCCCAAGACCTTATTTTTTTTTTTTAAATAGCTGACTTTTACTTTTTCTCCTACAAAAATTTTCCTCCTTGTTATTTCGCATCATTTACGACCATAAAATGAAAAAAAAAAAAAAAAAATTGACAACCACAAAATAATAAAATCGAGAAAAATAAACTGGCAAGACTTATTCATTCAATCGCCGACCACTTGCGCAAAGAGAAAAGGCAGATAATTATCACAAACTGTCTAGGCTAGACAGACAAGAGATACTTGCGAGCTGTGGGTTGTTTCCCTTGCGGTTACAATTCAATTCATCATTTTCTGTTTCTGCCTTCTTCAGTTCATTATAAAGACTCTTAACCAGGGAAATTTTAACAAGAAACAGAAATGAAGTTTGTTAACCTGCTGGTGTATCGCTAAGAAAGTAAAGTCAGAACGTACTGCTGCTAGAATGTTTAGATCGCTTTTCAAATATGACTACAACTTATCAATGTGGTTGGATTATTTAGTAAGCGCACTTTTACCATAATCCAGTTATAATATCCAGTTTCGTCCTTTTCAGGACGAAATTTTTTGTCATTTGAAGCCCTACTCTGGCTTTTGCCAGGGGCCGCAATATAGGCAGGCCATAAATATGGCCAAATGTCTGAACGCGGTTTCTGGGACCTCTCCACAGCGATCCTCATCCGCATGGTGGCACTTTGTGTCATCGGGTGTTTATCGCTTGTGTGATGTCCTGGTGGGGTAGAAAGTCAGTCAGTCAGTCATAATCCAGTATTCCTTACGTCCTTTTTAGGGCGTAATTTTTTGTCATTTGAAGCCCCACTCTGGATTTTGCCAGAGGCCGCAATATAGGCAGGCCATAAATATGGCCAATTGTCTGAACGCGGTTTCTGGGACCTCTCCACGGTGATCCTCATCCACATGGTGGCACTTTGTGTCATCGGGTGTTTATCGCTTGTGTGATGTCCTAGTGGGGTAGAAAGTCAAGTCAAGTCATAATCCATTAATGTTATACAAAATTTCGTCCTTTTCAGGACGAAATTTTTTGTCATTTGAAGCCCCACTCTGGCTTTTGCCAGGGGCCGCAATATAGGCAGGCCATTTATATGGCCAAATGTCTGAACGCGGTTTCTGGGACCTCTCCACGGCGATCCTCATCCACATGGTGGCACTTTGTGTCATCGGGTGTTTATCGCTTGTGTGATGTCCTGGTGGGGTAGAAATTCAGTTCAGTTCAGTTCATAATCCATTAAGTGAGTGCACAATAAGTCCTTTTCAGGACGTAATTTTTTGTTATTTGAAGCCCCACTCTGGCTTTTGCCAGGGGCCGCAATATAGGCAGGCCATAAATATGGCCAATTGTCTGAACGCGGTTTCTGGGACCTCTCCACGGTGATCCTCACCCACATGGTGGCACTTTGTGTCATCGGGTGTTTATCGCTTGTGTGATGTCCTAGTGGGGTAAAGATTCATTCATTCATTCATAATCCATATCCTTGTCGCCATCATATGTATCGTCATCATATAGAATTTACTTAGACTACGTGGAAAAGACACCACTTTCACGTCTTTGAAAATGCATTAGTATTGATATAATAACAAATCTATTATTAGTGGCAATGCACAAAGTGAGAGAGAAAGAGAGAGAGAGAGAGAGGGAGGGGCGAGAGAGAAATAGAGGCAGAAGAGCGGAAAGAGACAGACAGAAAGACGGACAGACAGAAGAGATATAAAGACATTTAATGGAGATGTCAAGACCAGTTAATCAATAATACTTTGAGAAACTAAATGACAAAATCAGACGCTTAATATTTTATCTTTTTATCTCATGCACTTGAGCTGCTTCAGAAACGGGGGAAGGAAAGCAACAGAGCCATACAAGCGGAAATAGACAGTCAGAAGGACTCGCAAAAAAGACAGAGCAGATATAAAGACATTCAATAGAGATGTGAAGATCAGCTAATCAAAAATACTTTAGAGAAAGTAAATGACAAAATCAGGGGCCGACTATATCCTTTATCTCATGCACTCAATATTGCTTCTGAAACGAGCAGCAGCAAATTAAAAAAAAAACACCGCTTGAGGCAGGGGTTAGTATATTTTACATGTTATCATTAAAGGAAGCCGCCGTGGCGGAGCGGCTAGACGCTCGCCACGGATCTGAAGGTCGTGGGTTCGCTCCCTGGCGTTGCGAACTTTTTTCAAAAATGACCTTGGCTCCCAGGTCGACCCAGCCTTGAGGGGGTACCGGGTGCAGTCCCGGGAAGTAGAGGCGGCCGGCGTGATGCTGATCTCATCACCCGTCTTGTGCCGATTGGTCTATAAAAATATTGGTCTAGCCCTATATGCCCTATACACATGAAGGCGTGGAAAAGGGACCTTTACTTTACTTTTTTACTCATCATTAAAAACGTATGGCATTCTTTGTTTTCGGCGGCGAGGGGATGGGGATATTAAACAACCTACGACCCTAACAAGCATGGCGTAAAAGTCGACTAATTAGGTCTGTCTCCTGTCGGAGTACATCTGCTTCAATAGCATACAAATATGCCAGGTCTGTAAAAGCCATGTGCACAAAAGAGAAGTTCTGGGGCAAGAGAAAAGTCCAGAAGTGGATAAAGAACTAGAAATTTCCGACGGCGTTTCAGACCGATGTACGCGAAGGATGAGAAGATGACTACAACACTCGAAATGTGCTCCGTAAACAACCTTGTAAAATACGGACCTTAAGAGTTCACAGAATAGTGTCCACTCGGAGATTATGGAGCCATCACAATCGGATAGTATGTTATTTTATAATACTCTAGTGTCCCAAATAACTATTTTATTTGATAACATAACTGAACAATGTTTCTGGGACACTAAGAAATTATGGTTGTATTGACAAAAAGGTATTCATTCTCGGTCCTGTTCACGTTTAATTGGAGGCAAGAAAACGTGACACCTCTCTGACGTAGAACCTCTAAGAAACTATGAATGAAATGTCAGCCAATGTGTAGATAGGCCGGGAAACGTGAATCGCAATTATCAAATAAGTCGTAAAATTTGCTATGGAAAATGGAAACCTAAAGTCTTTGACACGAACAAATACCAAC